ACACTGACAGATTCAGGGGGGTGGCTGAATAATGCCCTCCCCCCAAGATGTCCACATCTGAATTCCTGGAACCTGTGAAGGTTACCGCACAGAGCAAAATGGACTTTACAGATGTGATGAAATTAATCTCCCGTCGAGATTAATTTAGATTTTTCAGGTGGGCTCTGAGTGTAATCACAAGGGTCCTTACAAGAGGGAGGCTGAGGGAGAAGCCATTCGAACAGAGGTTAGAGTGATGCTCTTTGAAGATGGACGAAGAGACCATGAGCCCAGGAATGTGGGCAGGCTCTGGCAGCTGAAAAACGTAAAAACAAAAACACGGATTCTCCCCTGGAACCTCCAGAAGGAGCCAGCTTTGCTGACACCCTGATGTTAGTCCACTAAGACTGATTTTGGACTTTTGACTCCAAAACTCTAAGAAAATAAATGTGTGTTGTTTTAAGCCACTGTGTTTGTGGTCATTCATGACAGAGGTCATAGGAAATTAATACAAAGGTAAAATAAAAGGAGCACTTTGTTTACATCCTTAGTCTCAAACAGCTCAGAATAAGTAATTGGAAAGATAAAAGAGGATAAAACCAATGCAGCAATTGGTGAATCTGGGAGAAGAGCATGCGGCAATTTCCTGTCCTCTTTGTGCAACTTTTCTGTAAATCTGAAATTATTCAAAATAAAAAGGTTTAAAAAAAATACCCTGGGGCCAGCCGAGTGGCTCAGTTGGTTAAGAGCGCGAGCTCTGAGCAACAGGGTTGCTGGTTCGATTCCCACATGGACCAGTGAGCTACGCCCGAGCTGAGCTGCCGCTAAGCTGGTGAGAGCACGTGCTCTTAGCAGCAAGGTTGCCGGTTCAACTCCCACATGGGATGGTGGACTACAACCCCCTGCAACTAGATTGAAAGCAGCGACTGGACTTAGAGCTGAGCTTGCACGCTCCACAACTAAGATTCAAGGACAACAACTTGACTTTGAGCTGATGGGTCCTGGAAAAACACAATGTTTCCCTTCCCCAATTCCTCAATAAAAATCTTTGAAAAACATACCCTGAAAACAGAAAGGTGGTATCACTGGCTTGATGGCTTCGAGAGGCCTTGTTCTGAAGGACCCACTAACAGAGGTGGCCTCCTGGGAGCCAGGGACACTTGAATGATTATACATCTTTTATTATTTTTGAATTTCATACCTTTTGAAATATAAGACCCAGTCCAGAAAAAAAAATCACCGTTAAAACAGGACCTGAGTTCTGGAATTAGAGAGATTATAGTGATGATTGCACAACCTTGTGACTATGCTAAACTACCAAATTGTATACTTTATAATAGCAAATTTTATAGTACATGAATTCTATCTCCAAAAAAAAAAAGGTCTTGGTATAGTTTATAGGGCACACTGAGTGTGAAACAAACCTTAATTTTTCTTCTCCGTCTCCACTGAGATCATAGCTCCTTGTGAAAAGTATCTGTTCCTTACTCATCTCCTAACCGTACATTCTATATACAGCAAGTGCTCCATAAATGTCTTCATGAATAAACTTTAGCTTGCCAGTTTCGGGGCAAGAATTCCTTCCAGGATCCCCACTATCTCTGGGATTCAATCTAACCTCTTATCAGGGTCTCAGTACCCTATTCCCAACCTTCACCCTCCCTCCAGCCCGGGGTCCCCTCACTGATTCCAGCCACACCAGCCTCCTTTCAGCTCTTTCGTGCTGCCAGGCCTTTGCCCAGGCAGTTCACTCCACCTGGATGCCTTCCCCGCACCACTCATACCTGGTTAATTCCTGCCGGACCATCAGGGCTCAGGCAAGCCCCGCCTCCGCCAGGGTCGGCCCTGACTTTTCCCAGACAACTTCAGAACCCGGTGACACGCAGTCACCGCTCCATGCACCTTCCATCCATCACCCTTCCACAGACTCGATTTTAATCCACTTGTGTGATTTGAGGCTCCCTGGAGTGCTTCATGGATCGCGGGCTAGTTCTGTGCTGGTCACTGTTAGTTTAGCCCAGCCTCACACACTCCATCACGTGTGAAGTGAATTGATATATTAATGAATAAATGGCAAAGAGTTAATGAGTGGGAGACACATTATTGAATGGCAGGAGTTTGCTGTGACCTTGGGCAATCCAGGCCTCCCGGGCCTCGGTTTCTGGGCTGCCAATGGGAGAGCTGGGCTCAGTGGTCTCTGTTTCTGCCTGTCTGGGTTCAGGGGAGCTGGCTAGACAGGAACAGTGGAGAGCTCCGGAAATCGCTGGGAGGCTCCCACAGGGTGCCTCCCTAAAGCTAAATAAATAAGGGCACCTTATAGCGTTAAAAACTTGAATGATCAATCATTCCTTAACATCAGTTCAGACAGGCCCAGAAGGAGTTCCCCCATAGCCTTTAAAATGGCCTTTTACAGTTGGCTTAGGCACCTGCGTTGGTGCCAAGCACCCAGGTAAATCTGACACCTGAGGAGTTGCCAATTAGTTCTCACTGGTGACTTCAGACCAGCAGATCGCAAGCAAGTCCCGGCCTGCAGAGGCACAGGCCTGGGGCTGGTGACGCCAATCCTGCTTCATGTGAGTGGGAACCCGCCTCCCTGTGGGTCAGGTGCCCAGCTCAACCTCTCAAGGTGGCATTTATGGCGCCAATGCGGGTGGATGTAGGATGGAGCTCCTGCCTGGACTGGCCCCCACGCTCTCTGCCTTGCTGCCCTGGGCTTCCCAAGGATGACCCAGAGGTGCCCACCTGCCTCTCTGGTAAGGATCAGGGGCTGGAATCACACTGGGTTCCACCACCTCCTCATCATTTGGGGTGAGTCCCCAGGTAGACGTCCCACCTCCCTGGACCTCTGTCTCTTCTTTTGTCAAAAGGAGGGTCTATGAAAAGGTGACCCCCTGGCTCCACTCCTAGTGTATGAACCACAAAATCAAACTATAAGGAGACCCCATCCACCTACCACACCAGCAAAAGCCAGAAAAGCTCACAAGGACCCTTGCTTGGCATGCAGGTGGGGAAAAGGACTCCAGGGGCGTGGACAGCAGAACGAAAAACTAGAGCCACCTTCTGGACAGCGAGGTTGACTCTCTACAATTTAAAAAACAGTGGGGAAGAGAGAGAAGGGGATTAGAGGTGAAACCTAAAAAGCCACCAATGGGTATTTGTTGGATCTGGTGCCAAGTGCCCAGGGGGTGATTATCCTCTGCTCTCTAGTTGCATACGTGTTTGAAATGTCCTATAACAAAAAGATAAAAATCAAAATCATTCAGCAATAAAAAGGAATGAAGCACTGAGACATGCTACCTCATGGATGAACCTTGAAACCATCATGCTGAGTGAAAGAAACCAGCCACGAAGGACCCCATTTATAGAAAGGTCCAGGATTCCATTTATAGAAAAGGTCCAGGATGGGCAAATCCATTGAGACAGGAAACCTAATAGTGGTTGCCAGGAGCTGGCAGTGGAAACTGGCAGGTGACCGCAAAGGGGGGCAAGTTATCTCCTTCTGCCACTGAAAACATCCTATTAATAAAATTGATGGTGGTGATAGATGCACAACTCTGTGAATATACTAAAAGCCACTGACTTGTACACTTTAAATGAGTGAATGGTTTGGTACATAAATTATATCCCAATAAGCTTATTCAATTTCTTAAAAGCTGGATAAAAACAAAAATTGCACCTCTCCTTGGATTCCACACTTCATTTCTGAGAATTGAGCCTATGGTTCTGTTCACACATGAGCACAAAGACCTTATGTACAAGGATATTCATGACTTTTTTTGTGGGGAGGTTATTCCAATAGCAGTGGGATGAAATCACCCTAAGGGGTCTGACAGCAAGGCACAGGGATTGGTTAAAAGGACTTATAGTTCATCTAAACAATGAAACCTCACACAGCCACGAAAAAGACTGCAGTTCACCTACATAGACTAAAACAGAATGATTGCCGAAATATACTGTTTGGTGGGAAAGGTGGGGGACAAAGGCCCCTAGCACTGTGATGAGCAAACCCCAGTGCCACCTGGCACCCGACGTGGGGCCTGATGTGCCAGATGTGTTGCACCTCCTAGTTGGTGTATCTCGGATGGTCCTGGGAGGAAGGTCAGGAGGTGGGGTCCACCTCGAGCTCCTGCTCTGCAGGAATTTTTAAATCAGTAGAGAAATATCTTAACATTTGAATCACTAGCTGAAGAATGCCTCTGTTTATGGAAAAAATAACGTATGTCTTTTCTTACTCACCTAAACTATTTCTAGAAGAAAATACAGGAAGCTTAATTGGGAAACTAGGGAGGGGCAGGAGGGGTGGCCTTTAGGAGACTTGGTTTTCCCAGTAGGACCTTTGGACATATTCACATTATGTCACTACATACCATACGTTGCACTGGGAGGGTTACTTGAGGTGACATGTGTCAGGAGGCCAGGCGGGTACTGAGCGGTCAGGCTGGGAGGCCCAGGCCTCCTCCATGGCCACCATCTGAATTTGTTTGCCAGCTGCCCAGGGAGGAGAGTGGAGACAGGCAGGCGGGCGAGTTGCGCAACCGTAGTTGGGAAATCCAGCAGGAGAGGCTTAGGACCCTGTGTCAATACACCCAAGGAGGCCAGCCTGTTTGCAACCTGGGTGGACAGCCAAGCTGGCACTTGGTTTGCAGCCCTCCCAGTTGGGCTGTGGAGCTCCCAGGGCCTCCCGTAGCACCAGGGACCAGAGAAGAATGAGTCCGGCCCAGCCCCACTCGGCCATGGAAACCAGGGTCTTTCTCCATGGGACCAGTGAAAAAACTCAGTTGACCCAAAACATCAAAACTTGAGCTTCTGTAAAAAAGACGAAAGTCCACTTCTATGTGCTTATAGGTAAACCGTGTCTCTCCCCCAAAAAGGTATGTTGAAGTCCTAACCCCCAGGACCTCTCAGAATGTGACCTTATTTGGGTATTAGGCCATGTCAAATGGAACTATTTAAGTGAAGAGGAGGTTGTACTAGGGCAGGGTGCACCACTAATCCAGTATGACAGGTGTCCTTAAAACAAGTGGAAATTGTACACACAGATGTGCACAAGGGAGAACACCATGTGAAGATGAAGACAGATCGGGTGATGCTTCTACAAGCCAAGGAACATGGAAGGTTGCCAGAAAACCACCAAAAGCTAGGGAAGAGGCAGGGAACAGATTCTCCCAGGAGCAACCAATCCTGCCAACACCTTGATCTCAGACTTCTGGTCTCCAGAACTGGGAGACAATCAATTTCTGCTGTTTGAGAGACTCGGTTTGCAGTGCTCTATTACAGCAGCCCTACTTTACGAATGTAGTACTGCAACAGGCAGGACTACTGTCAAAACATACTCTTTGGTGAAAAGGTCAAGGGGCAAACCAGCATAACACAGGCTGATGATCTGAGTATTTCACCCCAGGGCTGCCCAGCGCGGACCAATAACTTCTTCCCTGCACCTTCCACTCAGCCTCCTTCAGACCTCCAGTTCATCCTCCACATGGCCCAGAGCTGCCTCTGCCCTACTCCCAGCTCTCTGTGGCTCCCTAGCACCCCCAGGACAAAGTCCCAGTCTCTCAGGCTGGCATTTGGGGCCCTGCCTGCCTCTGCAGCTCCTTCCCTCACTCCCCTCGGTCATACCCCTCCGGCATACACTAGATGGAAGCTTTAATACCTCAAACACACCTTGCCTTTCCTGCCTCAGGGCCTTTGCACAGGCTACTTTGCCTGCCTGGAATGCTCTTCCCCTGATATCACCAATGCTCACTCCCTGAGCTCCTCCAGGCCTTTGCTCAAACATCATCGTCTCAGTGGGCCCTTCCGAATGACCTACTTAAAGCTGTACCTTCCTCCCTCCTCCATTCCTTGTTCTATTTTTCTCCCCAGCACTCATCGCCTTCTCCTAGACCACAGAATTCTTTATGTATCTGGATGGTGGTTCTCGTTTAGTCAGTCTCCCTTAAGCAGGGACACTTGTTGGTTTCATTCCCTGCCATGGCTCCAGTGCCCACACACAGTAGTTGCTCAATAAATGCTTGAGCAAATAAACCAAGGAGTGAATAACCACATCCCCTGCCTGCCCATGCAGTGCCCACCCCCCACCCTTCTTGTGGACTCGGGGCTCACTCACAGGTGATTTCTTCATGGGTGAATCCCAGGACCCGCAGGGACTCCAGCGTCTCCTGGAAGAGCTCCCGTTCCTGGCCGGGGGAGGACGCCGGCCCGTTGGTCAGGAAGCGGTAGTGGGAGCACGGTTCCAGGAGGAGGTCGGCTACAGGGGTAACGAGCAGAGGCCAAGGTCAGGGGCGAGCTGTGGAGTCAGACTCACATACTGGCTTCCTCCGTGGCCACCCCGGATGAGTCACTTCCCCACTGGGGACCATGGTCTCCTCCTGAGTGACAATCCTTTTCTCACGGGTTCAGTGGGAGAACTAAGCGTGGAGTGGGTGCTTAGCACATGTTAGACCTTTCTCTTCCCTCCTTCCACAGAGATTCTTGAGTCCCAGAATTGCCCAGAGCAGGCAGGAGCCGCTGGTTGGCAAAAGCAATAGGCCCGAGGGTGACTGAGTTAGCAGAAGCCATGGGACAGCAGGGGCCAGTGGCAGATGGCATGGGGTTTCAGAAGCCACCCTGAGAGTGTGCCTGGATGACAAGGGGCCAGGAGGCGGCCCAAGCTACAGGGTGGAAGGAGCCAGAATGAAAGGGAGCCACAGGGCGGTGGGGCCACTGTCTGTAGCCAGCGGGCAGGAGGAGTGTGGAGCAGGAGACAGGAAGAACCTCAGGCAGGAGCGTGGAGGCAGGAGCCAGAGTGAAGGGGAGCGCGAGGCAGCAGGCGCCACGAAGCCACACAGACCAGGACCACGGGGACCCACGAAGCAGCGGGAGCCGCAGCAAAGCTGGAGTCACACACGCTGGAGTGAGCACAAGAGAAGTGAGTGTGAACAGGAGCCACATGGGTACGTGGCCAGTGTGATCAACACCCAGGAGACAGCAGGACCAAAGGGCAGCAGAATCTGCCCAGCAGCAACGAGCGGGGGTTGGGGGTGGGGGGTGGGGTGGCCGGATTCTCTGTTGGCAAAAGCTGGGAGGCGGCAGGAACCAGGGGCAGCGGGATCCGGGAGACAACAGAATGCACTACCCAGCAGGATCCTGACATAAAGCAGATAGCAGCGCTCCCCATTTCCTCCTCCCTGGGGACCCAGAGAAACCAGGAGATGGGCCAAGCTACTGCGTGGAAGAAGTGGCCCCCACCCACTTCCCCTGAACAGCAACACTGACCTTTGAGCTGCTCTCCTGCGCCTCCCAGCAGCTGGTAGAAGATGTGGAAGCTGCACTCATCCTTGGCCTGGCGGATGGCCCGCGACTTCTCCAGCAGGTCTGGGCAGAGGCGAGTCAAGGTGCCACCGAAGAGGGGAATGGACTCCACTAGGGCCCCTCGATCTGTTCTGCCCCCCTGCTATAAAGCAGTGGAATCCTTTACAGTCCAGTCCAGTGACCTTGCCACTCACTGGACAAGTGGCCTTGAGCATGTCACGTAAGCCCTAGCGCCTCAGTTTTCTCTTCTGTGCAAGGGGCTTGACATTAACACCCGTCAATGAGTCACGATGAAGGTAAATGAGTTATAGTAAGAATATCATTTGCCATCATTATCCTCCCAGCCTCAGCTTCCCTATATGGATATTGGGGCTATTGGGTCCTCCTTTCTAGGAAAATCACATGGCTCATTCACACACTAAAAATTGGTGATACACCTTTAGAGTAAATAAAATACCTAATAACTCATTTACCCCTCCGTGCCCCACGCTCATGGACCACTGAGAACATATTTTGCATGATAGTCATAACACAGAGCCTTGCCCAAGATTGGCTGCAAACCGAGGTCCACTGACTTCAAGCCCTGGGGTCACTAACCTGCTGGGGACATGGGGGGAAGCAGGGAGAAGGGGTCCCACAAAGCAGGGTGGGGTGGGGGAAGCACACACAACTGTACGACCCTGGGTGCCAAAAGCCCTGAGCCTCAGTTTCGTCTTCTGTTAAATGCAATGATAACAGCATCTACCTGGTGGGGTTAGAGAGAGGAGCCCTGAGCTAACATATGGACAACTCTCAGGATGGTGCCAGGGGCATTGTAAACACTCAAGACATGTGGGTCATGCCGACACTGGTGCCAAGGAGGCAGGCTGAGCCCCAGACCCATCTGATTGGCCTGGGGGTGGCGCCTGCCCCATGAGCATCAATCCACAGGCTGGTCATTGACCCCGAGGCAGAGACAGCTGGGACCTCAGAGCTGTGCCCAGAGGGGGCAACCACAACGGCATGGGGAGTATGGATGGGAGAAAGTTCACGTTCAGAAGCAGGCGGAGAACATGAACGTGAGGATAAAAAGAGACTGCAGGAACCACACAGTCGGAAGAGGCACAGGATGGCATGACGGCAGGGGTAAGAAGGGTTGGGAGTGAGAAGAACCCGTGTCAGCTGGAGCCATGATGCAGAGAATCCATGGGCCTTGGGGACTGTGGGAAGCAGGAGCTGGTGGCTGCAAGGGGACGTGAGGCCTCTCAACCTTCCCCAGATAAGACAGTGAGCTTATCAGACACCACTGGGGCCGGGGATGTGGGTTATTTATTAATATTGTTAACATTACAATCAATAATTATTAGTCAATAATATTAACATTGATAAGGACATTGTTAATTTATGCCAATCATTAATTTCTAATAACCCGAGCTTGTTCTTGAGTGCTTGCTACATGGCGGACACCGTGCTAAGAATTTGACTCATGTTGTCCTCCAGAGCCTTCTAGGCCAGGTTCTATGATCCTGCCCCTTTTACAGAGGGGAAACTGAGGCACAGAGCGGTCACATCACATGCCCAAGGTCCCACGGCCTCACGGCGGCAGAGCTGGATTGGAGCCCAGGTCGGTGCAATTTGTTCACCATGCTTAGTTCTGCACTCTGAGAGCTCCTGTTTTATCTTGTAAATTCCTAGGGGGCTTGCATGCCGCCTGTCAGAACAGGGTAGACACAGCAGGCCTGAGGCTCTCTGCTCACCAGGCGACCCTTGGCTGGTGTCTGGAAACCTGGATTGTGGGAGGGGCTCCCTGCGCCTAAACTGTCTGTACAAAACAACGTGGTTTCTGCTGAACACCTGCTTTCCTTCAGGGAGTCTGGAATGTTGGAATGTTCCAGGCAGTGGTTGCTGACGTGACCAGCCTTCAATAAAAACCCTGGGCGCCGAGTGTCTGATGAGCTCCCCTGGTATACACAATATGTTGTCACAACTCAATTCTAGGGGAATTAGCATGTCCTGTGTGACTCCACAGGGAGAGGACTCTGGAAGCTGCACTGACCTCGCCACACTTTGCCCCATGCACCTTGGCTCTGTGTCCTTTCCCTGTGTTGAATCATGGCCAAGTCCTGAGAGTCTCAGTGAATCACTGAACCTGGAGGAGGTCCTAGGGACCCCGGCCCACCACTCCATAGCGAGACTGTGCTGGGCTTCTCATAAAAGCAGTGGAAGCCCCCACCCACTTCCCTCCATATGACAATGCTGCGTCTATCCCTTCCCAAGGTTCTGTGATCCTTCTACAGAGTGGGGAACAGAGGCACAGTGTCTGAGTAGCAGGAAACCAGGTTCCATGAGTGTGTGGATGCCTATGTCCTGTAAGTGGTGAGCCCAAGAGCCCCCCTCTTCAGCCACCACCCCTTGTCCTTCCAGGCATCCTCCAGGCCACAAAGGATACAGGTCTCGATGTTGGCACCCACGATGTATCCAGCAACGTCAAAGTTGATGCGGATGAACTTGCCCTGGGAGGAGAGGAGCGAGGGCGGAGCTCAGGGCTCTCTGCTTCCAATGGGGCTGACAGGCACCCCCAACCCACACTCACCCCTCCCAGAACCCGGGCTGCCTCTTGACTTTCTCTCTCTCTCCACCTGAACCTCACCCCAATCATGGGTCCCAGTGGGGGACTCCCTGGGGTATCGGAGGTCCAGGCCACTTTGACTTCTTTCTTCAGGACCCAGGCCCCCAGCCCCGCCTCCCTCAGGCACACCTCTTGGCTTCCCCCACCACCCTCCTACATGCCCAGCTGCTGTTTGGCTGACATATAGCCAGGAACCGCCCTCGTCCAGCACTCACAAATCGAGAGGAGTTGTCATTCTTCACTGTCTTGGCATTGCCAAAGGCCTCCAGGATGGGGTTGGCCTGAAGAAGCTGCCGCTCCAGCTCACCCTGCCGGGGGTAGAAAATGGCACCTCAGTGAGAACCAGGGCTGGAGGTGGGGGGGGGTCTGTGTTACAGCTGGCTAAGTGTGTGTGTGTGAGGGGCCTTTGTGTGTCTGGGTGTGTGCTGCTTTCCCACATCCGGGTCTTGCCCTTCAGTCTATTGTGAAGGGAACAAGGAACCATCTTCGAGATACATTGTTAAGAGGAAACAAAGCAAAATGAAACAAAGAAACCAAATTGCAGAACAATACCTACAATGTGATCCCATTGATAATAAAATAAATTGAGAAAAAAACACTACCAAAGGAGATTCCCATTTCTACAAGTATATATACACGTTTGTAAACATTTAGAGAAACGTCTGCAAGTATACACATCAAACTGTCAATAGTGTAAGCCACTCCAGGGAAGGGGGACTGAAAGGGGGAAAGAGGAATTTCACTGTATCTGATTTTTGTTGTTGTTGCTGTTACAGTGAATATGTACTCATGTATTTCTTGTGGAATTAATTAAGGAAAAATCTATACCATCTATGTCAAGTGTTTAAAACTGGCACATCATAGGCATTCAAGAAAGAGTAATTTCCTTCCCCAACCAGGCAGCTCCGTGGGTAGGGATCTTACTCTGAACTTCCCCACAGCCACCTTGGTGTCAGAGCCAGGGCCATAGTAGGTGCTCAATAAATGGCAAGCCCCTTCCCCTCCTTTCTAGCCAGGCTCTGTAGGGCATTGACTATTTCTTTAAGTTTCCTTTGAGCCCTCAGAGGCTATCCTGAGCAGGGAGTATACAGTAGGCCTGCAATAAATGGCAGTGTAGGTCTCTGGGTTGTGTGAATTCACAGTGTCTATGGGCCCCATTAACACACATTTAGCACATCAGCAACAAACGGTAGTTTTGGTCTCTGGGTTATTTCATGTTGGTATCTGTGGCCAGTCTGCACACACACAGTAGAGCTAACCTAAGTGGCAGTGCAGGCTGGGTCTTCACACACAGGAGAGTTGCACTAAATGACAGCATAGGCCCTGGGTGTGTGTATGTAGTAGGGCTGCCATAAACAACAGTGGGGGGGGTCCTGTATGTACACAGTAGGGTTGCATTAAATGACAGCACAGGGCCGGGTGTGCACACAGTAGGACCTCCAAAAGTGGCAGTGTGGCTCCCTGGCAGGCGTGACCATCAGTGCCTTGGGCCCTGTCTGCCAGGAAGACCATGGGTTGGGGTGACCTGGGTGGCATGAGGGGCAGCATGACTTGAGGTGATTCCCTGTTACTCACATAAGACATGGCGCTGGTGGAGGCCTGAGAGGTCACGGGACACGAGACACGGACCGGGACACAGCACATGGAACATGGACAGACATACAGGTGAACTGGTGGTCTTGGGTGGTGAGCGAGATGGAGGGGGAGACGAAGGGCTGGGGAAACTGGGCATGTGGTGTAGGGTGGCCTGGGTGACCACAATGCCCAGGTTTGAATCCACTCTAGCCTTTGCTGGGTATGTGACCTCCGAAACTGACTCGCCCCAGCAGTGCCTTCGGTTTCTCATTTTAACACAAGAAAATAACAACCACCTCACTGGAGTGTTAAGTTTACGTGAGCAAAGAGACAAGCACTATATAAATGCTCACTTACAAAGTCAACCTGGGCATTGCAGTTACCTAAATCAGGCCTGACACATAGTAGGTGCTCAGGATTGTAAGCACCTACAATGCGCCAAGTGCTGTTCCAAGGGCCAATGAGGCCCAGAACTGGCCTTCGCATTTCTGTCCACCCTGCCGCCACTCCCAGCACTATATCAGACACATAGTAGGTGCACAGGCCGCATGGGCAGCCAGGAGAAGGCCCGTAACTATGGTTCTCCATGAGGGAGGCAGGGATTTATGGGGAAGCAGGCCTTGAGATGGAGGGGGCATTGTTGGTGGCAGGGTCCAGAGTGTGTTCCAAGGCAGGTGACTTACCGGGACGCCTGGTTCCTTCCTGCCCTTTGGCGATGATGCCACATGGGCGAGGTACTGGATGACCTTCTTGGTGTTTTCTGTCTTCCCAGCCCCGGACTCTCCGCTATGGGGGGGTGGGAGGGCAGGATAAGGGGAAGCAAGAGGGCTTGGCAATGATGCCAGGTAAGCCCCACCCATTCCAAGGAGAGCCACACCCAGCCTGGATCCCACCTCCTCCAGGAAGCCCTTCAGGATTACTCACGTGCAGAGAATGGACTGATCCTCACGATCTACAGGGGAAAGAAAGGGACATGTCACCTGGGAGGATCTCTCCAGCAGGACCCTGGCTCCTTACATTGGCCACTCCCTGTTCAAAATCATTCCAGGGGAACAAGGAAAAGTTTGGGTTTTGATGTGTGGCCCTCCTGAATTCTAATACCCCATCTGACTCAGCCTCTGGCTCGCTGTGTGACCCTGGGAAAGCAGTTGTCCCTCTATGAGCCTCAATTTCCTCTCCTGTAAAATGGAGACAATAAACTCCAACTAAACAGAATGTAATTCAGTCAACATATTTCAGTTTGAGCCCCTACCGTGTGCTGCCTCGTGCTGGGCATGTGAGATTCAAAGACATGAGAGGGATATTCTGGACCCCAGGGAGGCAGCGGCTGGGGGCCCTGGGTTCAAATCCCACCTCAGCCACCCAATCACCAGTGGGACTGTGGGCAAACACTGCACTGCTCTGTGGAAGCCAGGGAGATGAGCTCACCTACTTCATAGGGTTGCTGTGAGGTTAAATGTGTTAATCCATGAAAAGCGCTTGGCGCAGAGTAGGCACTCACCTTTACTGTATATTTATTCCTTTACTGTATATTTATTCCTAAGATATAATAACTAGGATATAATAACAGCTGAAAATTATAAAAATAAATATATAACAAATTAGATTATATAACCAAATAAGTGTCACCTATGATTACATACAAATGTATAATGTGACTATAAAAACGTGGCATCTAAATATGTCCTATTGCACAGAACAGGTGCAATATTATAAACTGTCTATTATACCAGTGACCCTGCACCAGAATCTTCAGAAGGAACCTGGGGGATCTTGTGAAAACCCTGACTGCTGAGCTACCCCCCCACTTCCCCACCCTCCGAGTTTCTAACTCAGCGGGTTCTGGGCCCAAGTTTGCATTTCTGACAAGTTCCCAGGTGCTACTGGTGAGTGGACCACACTCAGAACCACAGCATTACATGATATGAACATATTATTATAACACACCCTAGAAATATAGCATATATCAAATGATATAAGTAGAATATTTATAATATAAATATATTGCCTCAGATTATTATATATCAGATGATAGAAAGATACAAATTTTAAAATACTTAATATGTATTTTAATATATACAAAATGTTAAAATATATGATATATAATAAATAATAAATATATTATGTACGTTACGTGGATTATGTATTATTTTGCCAGGACTGATTTACATTGTCATGGCATGAATGGCGGCCCCTTTAACAGTATACAAACTTATGCAGTATATATCCTGCCCAGCTGTACACAGTGACCCCATGCTGCCTATCATCTAAGGGGCTGCCATTCACACCATGACAATGTGGATCATGTCAACAACATAAACGTTGAATGAATGAACACTCTAAGAATCATTGTCTCAAGAGAAATTTTGGCAGAAGCCTGGCACCAATTGGCTCCCAAATGCTACTTGTTGAGAGGAGAAATGAACGTAGGACAGATAAAAAGGGGACTGTTTGGTAGGACCCAGAGCATCACCCACTTAGCCCTCGGTTTGCGTTCCCTCCTGCCCACAAAGAAGCCTCAGAGAGTTTAAAATCCTGGACCTGTGACCTGATCCTGACCTCCAGCCAGGCCCCCAAGTGAAGGGCCACCTCCAGCACCCCCAGCCCCACACTCACCCTGGAGCATGCTTCGGTAGGCCCCCTCGGTCACTGCGTACACGTGGGGTGGCACTTCGTGGCGCTTCTTGCCCCGGTACATCTCCACAATCGCCTCTGTATAGATGGGAAGCTGCTTGTACGGGTTGATGACCACACAGAAAAGACCAGAGTACGTCTGCAGTAGGCAAAAAGGGTGAGGGTCTCAGCTGCCTGCCTGTGACCTAGAGGGCACCATGGGGTTACCGTGTACAGCTGGGCAGGTTGTGTACTGCACAAGGACGGCCATCAAAGGGATTGCCGTTCACACCACGACAATGTCAGGCTGAACACATTTGTTACAAACAGTTTAGTCTGATGGTAGAAAAGAATCTCTCTAAATTGTACCAAGGTGGTATATGGGTGAGCATTTGCTGAGAGAGAATGTGGCCTTTGCAGCCATCCAGACTTGGGTCATAGCCTGTCACCACCTGGATGCTGACACACATGAAATGACCATGTGCAAACTGATCTAGTGCAGCATCCTTTATAATAGCAAAGTCTGGAAGCAACCTGAATATGTGTTCATACAATGGACTCCTATAATGCTGTCAGGGTACTGGTATGGAATGATCTCCAAAACACTATCAAATGAAAGGAAGCGAGGTGAAAACAGTTTGCAGTGAAAGAGGTGGAATAGGAATATCTTTATGTATTTGCTTGACTATACATAGAATATCTTGGGGAGGGTGCTCACAGTATCAGCAGCACCTGAAACATGACAGGAATATTCTGTGGTTTCTATTAATAATAGACTCACAGGTTCTGCTTACACGAATTAGATTATATAACCAAATAAGCGTCACCTATAATTAAACACAAATTTAAACATGACATCTAAATATGTTTTATTGCATAAAACAGGTATATTATAGATTGTCTATTAAACCAGTGGTTCTCAAAACTTGTGGTCCACTCTTATTGGAGGAAATCCTAGATTTCAGGCTCCAGGTGCATTAAAATAAAGATGTAAATTTTTTTTGCATCCAAATTCATGGTCTCCCTGAATTTTTCCACACATCTGTTGGGCCTGGATTCAGGACCCTGGAACAGCTTAAAAACTGTTCCAGCTCACACGGAGCATTGGGTAGGCAAGAGGCACTCAGGACAGTGAGACAACTAGAGAGCTAGCTGGTCACCTAGTGAAAGCAACCCACAGAACTAACTACTAGGCTAGCTGGAATTAGCTAGCTCAACCAGCCAGAGAGTTAGCTGCTTAGTGGCTTAGCTAGCTAACTATTAAACCAGTTAGCTACTTAGACAGCTAGTCAGCTACTTAGCTAGTTAGCCAGCTAGCCGGTTACTTGGTTGGTTAGCAGCAGGACTGCTTTAAACTCCCTGACATTGTACTTCTCAAGCAGAGCAGGGTGTGGCCACCATAGGCTGCCTGGCTCCCTCTTAACGGTGGGAGGGTGGGTGGCCAGCTGGGAGCAGAACAACCGGTTTGCTGGGTGTTCCCGAGAGCTCTGGTCCCTGGCTCTCTGAGGGCGGGGCCGCCAGACCACATTCCCTGGGAGGGTATCTCATGGCTGCTGGCGCCCCAGGCCCCCACTCTTGGCTGGCGGAGGAACCCACTCCCCCATGCCACCCACCCCACCCCAGCCCTCTCCTGCAGCCACACCTTGTCACCTGGGTGACACCCCGACAGGAACCTGAGCTGGCTGCCAAGGCCAGGGGGCAAAGGGCAGAGGCCAGTACACCCCAGGAGGGTCGGGGACACCCGAGTTACCGGGGCGCAGCTGAGGAAACCTGGTTGGAAGGGTCTGGAGGGGCTGCCCCAGCATGCGGGGATCTGAAAGCAGACCCACAGGGTCCAACTCCCACCTCCACCTCTCCTCAGTGCAGCGACGCTCCCATAGTCTCGGTTTCCTCCTTGAGAAACCAGGAATGACACTCCCCACTTCATTACAGAGGCTGTGGGGATTAAGGGAGATAATGAATAAAAACCAGCTGGCCCAAGGCGGGGCCCATAAAGGCACTCGAATATGGGTCCTGGGACTCTCATGTTACCCATCCTGCCTGGGAGCTGAGAGCTCGCTCAGACTTCCAAGACACGTCAGCCTGGGTTTCTAGCTGTGTGACAGCACACGGGATTTGCCCTCTCTGAGCTTCAGTCTCCAGCCCTGTGAAACGGGGCTTATAACCGCCACCCCCTAGAAAGATTCTGGAGTAAAAGGCCATAGTGCATCTCCCAGTACCCCACAGAGCAGGGAGTATCGCAAGTGCTCAACAAATGGGTGCCCTTCCTGCCCAAGCATCCCAGTGAAGGGACCATGACACCAAGCAACTCAAGCCCAAATAGCCTATTAGTGGCAGGAACTGCGTGGGTTTCTGGAGCCCTAGATGCCCTTACTTTCCACTGGGCAACACTGCCTTTCCCATCACCAGTGGCAGGTCAACAAATAAGTATTAAGCTCGGGCCAAAGGCCAGTAGGGCGATGCTTGAATAGCACCTCTGATATCTGCTAGTTGGGTGGCTTCAGCAAGCACCTTAATCTTTCTGGGTCTCATTTTCTCATCAAATGGGGACAGGAACAACACTTCCACCTAGGGATGCTGGGAGCCATTCACGTGTTCATGTACATTCGCTTCCCGTCTGGGCTTCTGGAATCTCCCATCTCACTTCCATCTGTCAGGCCCCAATTCTCTGGTTCCTGGGCCACAGCATTCACTGAGGCCTCCCCATTTTCTCCCCTGAACTTTCCCAGTCATCTTCCTAGTGCAGTAGATAGGACACGGGACCTAGAGTTAGATGGCCTGTGTTCAAATCCCAGCTTAGCCAGTTCCTAGTTATGGGGTGTTAGCCAAGTCGTGGCCCTCCTCTCTGAGGCTCAGTTTGCCTACCTGCAGAATGGGCATGATAGAAGATACCTTAAAAAGTTGCTTTGAGGGTTCAGAGTATTTATTAAAAGGCAAAGGGTGGCTCAGTGCTTTGGGGGGGTCCCTCTGATCTCCCTGCCTTTGGTGAGATCAGGGGAGTGACTTGGGCAGAGGCCCCTTTGCCAGGGCTTACAAAGGCAAGTGAGGCATCAGAAGGGGCCAATGCAGCCTGGAGAAGGTGCTAACCCTACCCAGGGTCACACAGCCCTCGATTCAAACCCCACATCTGCCACCACAAGTGGAGGGAGGGGCCCTGAGCCAGCCACTGGCCTCCCCGCAGGAGGAGTCTTCCTCCTTCCCATATGGGAGTCAGAATTCATAAACATATTCTAATCTCATGCTTTGTGACCTTCCAAAGGGTGGCTATCAGGGCCAGTTTATTAATTTTTATTTTTTTATATATCTCATCCATCATTTATCAAAATATTCCTTTATTACTCTCATGAAAGCTTTGTAGTTTTCTTAAATAGAAACCCAGCACTTTTCCTTTTAGGCTTTTAGCGAGATATTTTATGATTTTGCATGTGGGGCAAGTTTAAATGAGCAAGGCAGTGAGACCCCAGGCCTCTAAGCTGGTGTTTGGAGCATGACTCTAGGGGCAGCTGACTGGGTTCAAATCTTGGCAGGACTCCTTCATGTCTCTGTGACCTGGGACCCCAATCCCATCACTTAACATTCCTGAACATCAGGTGATAACAACAGTCCCTGACCCAGAGGTGAGCTGATAACCCACATTCAACACTTGGAACAGCACTTGGCAAATCATAAGTGCTCAATAAATATTTGCTAGCCACCCACTATTATTATTTTTCATTATTGTTGTCGACATTCCTTGTCAATCTCTCTAATCCTGTTTGCTCTTAACGCTTTGGCTGCCCATTAGAACCACCTAGAAGCTTAGTAAAAATACCAACTACCATGTCAGACTGCCAGAGAGCCTGATTTAAATGGGTTGAGGTGGGGCTCAGGTGTTGGTATTTAAAAAAAAAAATTCCCCAGATGATTCTAAAGTGAAGGCAGGATTAAGAACTCCTGCCCTATTCCATCTATTTGCTATAAAGATTAGATAAGGTGAGAGATATTAAATGCTTAAGAGAGACTAGAGCAGCGGTTCTCAACCTTCCTAATGCTGTGATCCCTTAATACAGTTCCTCATGTTGCGGTGACCCCCAACCATAAAATTATTTTCGTTGCTACTCTATAACTGTAATTTTGCTACTGTTATGAATCGTAATGTAAATATCTTTTTGTTTTCCGATGGTCTTAGGCGACCCCTGTGAAAGGGTCGTTCGACCCCCAAAGGGGTCGCAACCCACAGGTTGAGAACGGACTAGACTAAGGGCCGACCGACTGGCTCAGATGGTTAAGAGCTCAATCAAGAGTGCAAGCTCTGAGCAACAGGGTTGCCGGTTCAGTTTTCCGATGGTCTTAGGCGACCCCTGTGAAAGGGTCGTTCGACCCCCAAAGGGGTCGCGACCCACAGGTTGAGAACGGACTAGACTAAGGGCCGACCGACTGGCTCAAATGGTTAAGAGCTCAATCAAGAGTGCAAGCTCTGAGCAACAGGGTTGCCGGTTCAGTTCCCGGCCCGAGATGAGCTGCCGCTGAGCTGCCAACACGTAGCAGGATGGCTCAGCTTAAAAAAAAAAAAAAGAGAGAGACTAGACTATCACAGGCAACCTCACTGTTGTCAATCTGGCCTTAACCCTAAGAGGCAGCGCAGCAAAATGGTAGAGCCTGGAGACAGACGACTGACTTAGGTCTACCCAACCTCCAACTGGGTGACCATGACCTTTCTGTACCTCAGTTTCCTTACCTACGAAATGCTTTATAACTGTGAAGATTGAGACAATATACATTTTTTATGTAAGTTATGTGTTCTCATTAGTTTATCTCCTTGAAGTAATGTATTATTTATAATCTGCTATTATAATTTTTTTTCACCCATCCCCATGAGACAATATATTCTAGAGTGCCTAGAGTATGCTAAATAAATGTTAGTTTGTATTGTTATTAAATCTCTCTGGGCCTCAGTTTTCTTTTAGATAAAATGGCAATAATAGACTCTACTTTGTATAAGGTGAGAGAAAATGAATTAATATATGGAAGGCATTTAGCACAGAACCTGACATATGATTTTTCCATACTCAGTGGTTCTTACTAATTATGATTACAAACCCATATCCCTTTCTTAAAACACTTTGGATGTATTATAGTTGAGAATTCAGAAAATTTTATACTTTAGGAAAATATTAAGGTGCATCTACCGTATACTATTACAGAGCACCCCCAATGGAGTCTGAGATAGTCTTGATAACCCAGTAATTTACAAATTGGCAACTAAGGGTAGGAATAGTCACATGATGTGGGATAAAGGTTACAAACCACACTCACATGAATTCAAGTCAGGGTGCTAACACCCAGCTCCCCACCCTGGTAAATGCCCTCCCAGGAAGGAGGCCACTCACGTAGATAAGGCCAGAGTAGTACCGCTCACGGAGGTTGTGCAACACCGAGGCCTCATTGAGGCAGGTCAGCTCCGCCATGTCCTCGGCCTTGCTGAACTTAGGCGGGTTCATGCGCTGGATCTGGTCCCGCGGTAGCCGCAGCCGCCGCCCACTCTCCGCCAGTTCCACTTCGGCCTCCTCCTCACCCTCATCCCGCAGCGCCGCCGCCTCGAACCCATGCAGCTCCGAAGGCACCCACACCAGGCGCCGCGCCGTCCACTCCACCTGCGGGGAGGTGCCCGAGCCCCCAGGCCCGACACCTGTGCCTGGCCCACGGGGTGCAAACAGGAACGGCTGGGCCGCCTCTGGCACTGGGCCGGCCCTGGGGGGCGCCTTCCGCCCAGGCACAGTCATGGTCACTGCTGCCATGGTCTGCAGGGGAAGAGAAGAAAACTGATGTCAAGTGGGGCTCCGTCCCCATCCCAAATCCCCCAGGCAGTCCCCACTGCCGTTCTTCACCAGACGTCTTTTTACACATCTGCAAAATGGGTCCCCAGATCTCTTTACTCGTTTTATTCATTCACCCCTCTATCTATTCATTCATTCAATACTTATCTGATAAGCCAGGCTGTGAGGCAGGCACTGTTCAAGGAATTGGCCATATAGCAAAGAACAAGCCAGAAAAAGACCCCTGCCTTCATAAGGTGTTTACATGCTAGCCCTGTGCTGTCCAATACGGGAGTCACACCATGTGGCTACTGGGCACTTGAAATGTGGAAAGTGCGACTGACGAAATGAATTTTTAATTGTATTCAACTTTAATTAAATTTAAATATAAATAGCCCCATGTGGCTACTGAGCACCTGAAATGGAGAATCCAAACTGAGATGAGGTTCTAAGTATGAGATACATACCAGATTTCTATTTGATGACATATTGCAATAATGTTTTACACATATTCGGTTAAAAAAATGAATCATTAACATTAATGTCACCTGTTCCTTTTTACTTTTTTTTTAATGTGGCTACTAGAAAATTTTAAATTACACATTTGGCTTGTATTATATTTCTATTGAATAGTGTGGCTGTAATCCTAGGAGACAGATAAAAAGATAAATAAGTAAATTACATAGCACGTTAAATGATGAGAAATGCCAAGGAGAAAAATAAGGCAGGGAACAGTGGATGTTAGGGTTGAAGGGTGTTGTGGTTTTAATTGCAGTGGCCAGGGAAGGCCTCTCTGATGTGGCATTTGAAAAAAGATCTGAGGGAGATGAAGGGAGTGAGCCATGGGAACGTTGAGAGGAAAAGTATTCCAGGCTGGGAGAATAGCCAGTGCAAAGGCCCTGAGGCAGGTGTGTGCCTGTATGTGTGTGGAATTGTGAGAGGCCAGTGAGGCTAGAGTCAAGCCTCAAGCCAAGAGGGAGAGGGTGGTAAATGAGATAAGATTGGGGACAAAGGAGGCCAGATTGGGTCATGGTGAGGACTTTCACCTCTTAGATATGAACCCTAGAATGGTATCAATCTGATTTCTGTCACTCAGGTTCCCAGACTACCTCTGGTCTATCCCTCGTCTGCAGAACAGACTCGAATCTCCTTCCTCAGTTAAGAGTACCTTCCTTCCTTGTGACCTGGCTTCCTTCTCTTTATAATGGGGGAACTGACCCCATTCATTCCTTCTTCCTCCATTCAATCAACCTTCCCTGAGGCCATTCACGTACCAGGTTCTGTCCCAAGTCTGAGGACCCTGAGATGAGTCAGACAGGGCCCAGCCTCAAGGAGCTCCTGGTCTGGGGTGATCCAGCTCTAGTCTCAGACCATCACAACCCAGTGTGAGCTGTAAGCTATAATGGAGGCACTGGGTGAGCCAGAATGTGCTAGACCCCTCTCCGCCCTCAAAGGGCCCACAGACCAATAGTGAACAGACCACAGCAATTCTAGAACAGTCTAAGCACTGGTCAGGAAAAATATTGTTCCTGTCTCTCCTCGTGCCCTGCTCCTGAAGAAGGAGGCTGTATTCTCCTCCCCTGCATCAGATGTCCACAGCACCGCCCTACCACACCAGTCACAGAAATACCCCAGTACTTCTGTCTCCTCCATCTCGGGGCTTCTGCCTCTGCTCTTCAGGCCCCCCAACTCCAACACACCCCTGGAAAAGTCCCTCCCAACACTCATCTCCTCTTAAAGCATTCCCAGATCTGGTCCCATCAGGCTCTTGTCTTTCCCGCAGAGCCTCTCCCACCCAGAAACCTGGCTCCAAGCCACATGTCTCACGTCCTCCCAGACCCTCTCCTCACATGCCCAGTACCAGCAGTCCTGGCCCCCAGAGACCCTTGGTCCTGATGCTCTCTGGCCTCAAACACTGGGTCCCTGCACTCAAACAGCAGGGTTCTACCACCAGCAAATGGCATTTCACCACCTCCCAGGCCCCAAATTGCCAAGGCTCACCCCAGGCTTTCTGTGCGGCCTTTATCCACCCACAGTCTGGCCCTGTCCCTGGGACTTTACCCCCACCTTCACCCTACCCCACCTCACCCACTTCCTCTCCAGCCAGCGGCCTTTGACCAGGAAGGGTTTGGGAGTTTTTGCAATCACCCAGTCCTACGCTTTCCCTCCCAAGAGCCAGGAATCCAGGCCCCCAGCACCCTTCTTCTCCAGACTCAGGAGCCCAGGCCCCCAGTACCCTAATATTCCAGGACGGCGGAGTCTGAACCCTCAGCCCCTTCCTCCCTTGGCCCCGTGAGTTCCCAGCACTCTCACCTCACTGTAGCCAGGTTAGAGGTGAGGATGCCTAGGGACTGATTCTGAGGACGGACAACATCCCTGATGGGGCTGGCCTGCAGGCCTCCTGTGCGCCCCTCTGGCAGTCCCACCCTCTTTAGCTGCAATAACGCCTCTGCCAGCGCTCATTACAGTCACCAGGGCAGGTGCTTTCACCTGCTCTGGGAGGGGCAGAGACGGCTGGAAAAGGAAAAGGAGCCAAGGATCCAGCCCTGGGGCAGGGGTTGGGGCCCTTGGCATCCAGCCCTCTGACCTCAGACCAGTGCTAGTATTCAGGAGCCCCCCCTCTGCCCCCAGACGCCGAAATCTGGGCTCCCAGGCCCCTCCTTCCTCATACCCAGGAGTCCAGGCCGCTACCCCGCTCCTCTCTCAGACCCAGGAGTCCAGATCCCCAGCCCCTCCTCCATCAGACCCAGGAGTCGGGATCCCCAGTCCCTGCTCCTACAAACTCAGGAATACAAGTCTTCAGCCCCTCTTCCCTCGAGACCCAGGAATCCGGGGCCCCAGACTCAGAGTACTGGCCTGAGTGCCTTCCTCCCTCAAGACCTAGGAGTCCGGGCTCCCAGCGCCCTCCTTACTCAGACCGGGATTCCTTGCCCCCAACCCCCCTCCTTGGATCCAGGAATCCGAGCGCCCAACCCCCATCTCCCCTAGACCCATGCGCCGGGTCGCCGCCCCCTAACCCCGCAGATCCTTGGGGCTACCTGGGGGAGCCGGCCGGTTCAGGATGCGGGAAGATGGGGAGGGGGTACGGGAATCCCCAGTCCGCTTCAGAGTTCTCAGGTGCGGCTACCTCCGCGGTCCAGCGCGGGGCGGGGCCACGTCGCGTCACCAGGAGGAAGCCTGGCTCTGATGTCACCCAGCACCTGCCCGGCTAGGGAAGGGGGCGGGCCCTGGAGCCGCAAGGCCCTGGAAAGGGGGGTGGGGGGAGGCGGGGATGAGCCCGTTGCTAGGTGGGCGGGGGCGGCGGCGCCAGGGGCCTCCCCTTCTGGCCCGTAAAGGTCAGGCGCCAGCTGCGGAGAGGTCTGAGGACTCCAGGGTTCGAATCCCGCTCAAGCTTTCTGGGCATCAACTTTCCTCTCTGTGAATTGCGGCCAGTGAAATAAATAAAACGATGTGGGAGAAAGTGCCCAGCCCAGTGCTTAAACAAGCAATGCTTCACCAAATCACTTAATCTCTCTGAGCCTCAGTTTCCTCAGCCCTGGAAATGGGACAAAACCTACAGAGGGTACTAGGAGTATTAAAGAAGAGGACAAAACATTATTCTGGCCTCCGGAGCTTCAGTCTCCTCATGGGTGAAATGAGGACTAAATAGTGATAAGCGCACCTACTGTGTGCCTGGTGTGTTTTCTGCTCTTAGAACAGCTCTCCATGTTTTAACTCAAAAAATGATCTCAAAAACCAACGAGATGGGGACGATCAGCACCTCCATTTCTTAATGGGGAAACTGAGGCACTGAGCGGCGAAGTACCGCGCTCAAGGTCATACAGTCAGTAAGAGAGAGCTGGGGTCAAGCCAGGATCGTTTTCTGCAATTATAAAGAGGGGTTTGGGGAAGAACGTGTCGCAGGTCCTCAAAGAGGTTCACTTTCTCCTTCCAGTTGGTACCTCTTGAACCAGCTTCCCCCATCTATGCCATAGGGACCACAGCCTTCCTTAGGGGACGACTGTGGGATTAAAAAGGTGAGGGGACCCAGCACACAGCTGGTCTCTCAAGTGTTATCCTCAACCCCATTCCCCTGCAGTCACCGCCTCTATTCAGCCCCGGTTTTCCTCTCCCTGTAAAATGGGTACAATATAGCGCACCTCGAGTTAATGTAATTAAAGAACATCATTTAATTATAAAAATAAAAGCGACCAAGTACATTGTCGGTGCTCAGATATGTCTTTCCCCACCCCTCTGCCTCTGCCAGTCATGATCCCTGTCTCTGGTCCGCAATTTTTACAAGTGAAAATAGAGACACTGTCATCTGGGGGGCGGGGGATTGAAGGCGATGACTCAGGTATTAAAGCGTCCAAGGTCCCAAAGTGAGCCTCAGTTTCCCCATCTGCGGAATAGGCCCAGGGCCGCCAGCAAGGACCCCGACCTGGCCTCGCACACAGTAGAAATTTGAGTTGGGGGAGTCTAAACGCCCCGCCCCGCTCCCCCGCCGCTGTCCCGCAGCGCGCCCAAGGTGAGTGTCCCCGTCGGCGCTCCTTCCCCGCCGCCCGGGCGGGTCTCCGGGGCCCCATTTTCAGCTCTGAGGCCCCAGCCTCCCCGGACCCAGCCCCGCTCCTCCGCCTCCGGCGGGCAGCGGGCTCCGGGCACTCACCGGCTTCCAGGGCCGTCCCGAGGCTTCGGCCTGAGGAGAAAGAGGGGCGGGCCAGCCTGGAAAGCCCCACCCACACGAGCGCAGCAGTGGCCAATTGGCGTCCTCTGCGGCAAGCTACAGCCCCGCCCATGGGGGAAGCGCCCGCCAATCAAGAGGAGCGGCTGGCAGGCAGGGCCAATCAGAAGTTGCTGGAGTGTGCCAGCCGTGGGAAAAGAACCCAGCCGGAGCTTGGAGCTAGGTAGTGCGGCCGTGGGCAGGACCAGAGGCCTGACGGGCAGCAGGTGCGACCAATGGCGAGGCGCAGGGGGCGGCTGGGGGCGGGAGGCCCAAGGGACCCGGGTGAATGGGCCGCTTTGTACGCGAGGCATGAATGGGGGCCTTTGTAAGGGCCAGCGTGGGGGAGCGGCTGGAAGCCGGAATGCCTGGGTCCCTGGGGAGCTGGCGGGCAGGAGAGACCAGAGAGAGAATTCACTTTTGTCGAATTGCCGACCGCCTACCAGGCACTCTCCCAGGCTCTCACCCACCTGGAAGGTGTGGGCGATACTGTCAGTAATAATGATCATTTATTGAGTGCCCGGTGTGTGCCAGGAGCTGTGCTAAGCTCTTCACCTGCATGATCTCATTTAATCCTTACAACTACCCTTTAGAATTGGTGCTATTAAGATCTTCATCTTCCAGATGAGGTAAACCGAAGCTTAGAAAAAGAGGGTGTTAATTGCCAAAGTCATAGAGCTGACAAGTGGCAGAGCAAAGACTCGGATCCCGCCAACTATGACTCCAGAACTTGTGCTCTTAGCCACTATGCTACACCCAAACGTTGGTTAGTGCTTCCCAATTTACAGATGGAAAAACTGAGGCGAAGGAGAGTAAGATGGCTTTCGAAGGTTGCAAAAGGCTCTGCTGAACCCCAAGGTGGTAACCACGTCTGAGCTAACCTGTTGCTGGTGAGCCCTGCACCATTGGTCTTTCAGCCGTGTCCCCAGTTTACAAAGACTCCAGGAGAAGACAGCAACTGGGGTGGGAACTGAGGGCTGTACACCAGTCAAACCCCAGCCGCTGCTCAACAGCTGTTGCTGGCCTTTTTGAGGTTCCATTTATTTCTGCATCTGTAAAATGGGAATGATGGCCTCTCTGACTCCACCTTGACCCCCTACACACACACACACACACACACACACACACACACACACACTCACACACACGGTCTACTGTCAATGCGATCCTGTCAAACTCTATTCAGATTTCTCCCCTTCTCTATTCAGAACCTTTCATGGCTCTATCTCAGAGTAAAAGCTGATGTCCAGAATATGGCGCACAAGCCCTGCACAATATGGCCCCCTGCGATCCTGTCTGATCTCATCTCCCATTCTCCCCTTTATTCAGCTCCAGCCACACTGACCTCCTGGCTGTTCCTCAATTTCTCAAACACTCCCCAGGCATGGTCCTGCCTCAGGGCCTTTGCATTTGCTTTTCCTTTTACTAGGAATGCTCTTCCCCTAGGTTTTACATGGCTGCCTCCCTCTCACATCATTAGGTCTGCTCCAGTGGCACCTCCTTTAGGAGGCCTTTCCTGACCATTCTGTATAACACAGTTCTCATCACTCTCCCCATAACCCTGCTTTGTTTGCTCATAGCACTAGTAATGTTGGCTTGTTTATCTGTTTATCATCTGTCTCCCCACTAGAAGGTAAGTCCCATGAAGGCAGGGATCTTTGTTTTGTTCAGTGCTGGATCCTCAGGGCCTGGCACAAGTAGATGCTCAATAGCTGTTGAATCAAAAGTAACAAGTACTGGGCCGGCCAAGTGGCGCATTGGTTAAGAACTGGCTTGGGATGCCAGAGGGCCCCGGTTCGGATACCACATATGAGGGCCAGTGCCACTACCCTCTGCAGCTAAGATGGTGAATGGCAGCAGCTCGACCTGGGGCTGGGCTGCTGTGGGTCGCCGGCGTCAGCGTAGGCTGCAGTCCCCTGCTGCAGTGGGCTGCCATAAGCTACTGTGTGTAGCCAGCAGCCAGCATGAGCGGCCGTCCAGAAGCCGGCGACTGATCTGCCTCGCCCGGGAAGAGCGCAATGATGGTGCCAACTTGGGCCAGTGAAGCAACATCCTCCACAACTAGACTGAAGAACAAAAGGACAGCAACTTGTCGGTTCCCCTTCCCCCAATTCCCCAGTGCTGTTCCCCTCCCCCAAATCCCCAATAAAATCTTAAAAAAAAAAAAAGTAACAAGTACTTGTATTGTGTGAATGATTAATTAATAATGCATGCAAAGAGCTTAGTGGGGTCCTGGCATCAGATAAGTCTAAATAAACAAGTATTGATTGTTATTACCATTTATCGCCCTACAAATGGCCTTCTGATAGTATGCAGGAGAAAAACAAGAAGAGAAAGTCTAGGACAGGAGAAGAATCCAGAGAAAGGGAAAGGAAAAGGTTGAGAGGAAAGAGGTGGGGAACAAAGAGACTGGAGGAGAGAGCTGGACCTGGGTGGAGGGCAGACACAGGTGCAAGCACCCAATTCCCAATGCATTTACTTGGCAGAAAGAAGCTTTGAAGTTGCCGTGGCACTGCCCATTATTTACAGAAGGGGAAACTGAGTTCCAGGGAGGGGAGGACCTTACTGAGGCCATCTGCAGTGATAACACAGCTTATATGTATGAGGCCTGATTATGTGCTGGGGACATGACCATCTCATTATCGCAATGCATCCTCATGCCAGCCCGGGGCACTGTCATTACCCCACTTTACAGGCCAGTAACATGCCCAGGGTCTCCTGAGTGCTCCTGGGCTGATCTGGGCTCAGACTGCAATAGGTCACACCCCTGAGTCTATGCTTTAAACCAAGACAGAGCTGAAGGCCCCTGTGACTCTGTCAGAGTGTCCTCCATGAAAGCCTCCTATAGAGAGAGAATAACAGGAGCTGCTATTTATTGAGCGCCAACTGTGTGCTGGACATTGCACGCTTTGTGTGTATTAACTCATTAGATTCTCTCAGCAATCCTATGAGATTGATACTATTATCCCCATTTGACTGCTAGAAAACTGAAGCTCAGACAGATGAAAATCTCATGTGTCTGACTGAGGGCACCAGGGAAGGGTGTGGACTGGGATACAACAGAAATTCAAACTGAAAATCAGGTTCTAGCACCCACATTCTAACTATATTCTGCCTGGTAACCGGTGATGTTAACAACCCCTTCCAGGGGTAAATCTACCTGGCAACTAGTGATGTCATCATTCCCACCAAGGGAGATGTCATTAATTCTGCTCACTCTATGGGGTAATTGATGACATCACTGAATGACAATATTGAGCTTCCTTTTGCTGAGAGCATTCTATGAGCTGGATACCCATGCTAAGCACTTTAATAGTTACTGATATTTATTGAGCACTTACCGTGTGTGCCAGGTACAATTCTAAGCCCTTTGTATGTTTTAAATCCCATGATCTTCCCAGTAACTCTAAGTGGTAAGTACTAGGTTCATATCCATTTTACAGATGAGGACATTGAGGGAAAGCTGCCCAAGGTTGCACAGCTAGAAAGCATCAGAGTCTGAATTGGAATCCAGGCAATC